GGAATACCATGAAGCCTCACAATCTCATGAATAAAAATGCCAGCAACCGAAACAGCAGTAAAAGGATGCTTCAAACCAATAAAACGAGCATACTTACTTAATCGATCCACCACTACCAAGATGGNATGAATAAAAATGCCAGCAACCGAAACAGTAGTAAAAGGATGCTTCAAACCAATAAAACGAGCATACTTACTTAATCGATCCACCACTACCAAGATGGCATCCCAGCCCTCGGAACGGGGCAGCCCCTCAATAAAATCAAGAGTGACTTCATCCCAAACTTGCGCCGAAAATGGAATGGGTTGCAGTAACCCAGCTGGAGTAGTGGCCAGGTACTTATTCTGTTGGCAGACTGTGCACTCTCGTACAAATCTGGCTACATCCTTGCGCATGCCTACCCAATATAACTCAGCTGCCAGGCGTTGACAAGTCTTTGTTTCTCCCGAATGTCTCCCAACTGGAGTGACATGAAACTCTCCAATTAGAGTAGAAAGAAGCTTAGAGGATCTTGGAATAACGAGACGATTCTTATAGAGTAATATCCTTTGTTCCATTGTAAACCCAACATGAGATTGTGTACCTGAAATAATGTCCTCCCTTAGTTTCTTTAGAAAAGTATCATCCGCCAATTCCACCTTTAAAGAGTCCCAATGCTGCCACTGTGGTATAGCCAAGGTTGAGCACTCCACTTCATCTGTTAAACGAGAAAGTGCATCCGCTACTCGATTACTTGCCCCACTACGGTATTGAATATCGAAATCATACCCCATGATTTTAGTAATCCATTTTTGATATTCAACTCCAACAATCCGCTGTTCCAAAAGAAACGTCAAACTCTACTGATCGGTCCGCACAATGAAACGCCTTCCAAGCAAGTAAGGTCGCCATTTCAACACTGCAAACACGATTGCCATTAATTCCTTCTCATATATGGACTTCAGGCGAGCTCGGGGACCCAGTACTTGGCTATAATAAGCCACTGGTTGCTGCCCCTGGATAAGAACAACTCCTAACCCAAACCCAGAAGCATCCGTCTCAATAATGAAGGGCTTAGTGAAATTGAGCATTGCCAAAACAAGGGCTAAGGACATAGCATGCTTAAGTTCTTCAAAATCTGATGCAGTTTCCAGATTTCACCCAAATTTATCTTTTTTTAGCTGATTAGTCAATGGTGACGCAATTCGAGCATACCCAGCCACAAACTTTCGATAGTATCCTGTCAAACCCAAAAATTTCCTTAATGCCTTCAAATTAGTGGGCGTTGGCCAAGAAATCATGGCTTGAATTTTGCTTGGATCTGTTGCTACTCCCTGCCCGGAAATGATATGACCTAGATAGGCCACTTGAGTCCTACCAAACTCACATTTCTTTCAATTGGCATAGAGACTATTGGCATGCAAGATTTCCAAGACCTGTGCTAGATGCTGCTGATAGGTCTCCTCTGAGGGGCTATAGATCAAAATATCGTCAAAGAACACTAATACAAACTTTTGAAGAAAAGGCCGAAAAACATCATTTACCAAGCATTGGAAAGTAGCGGGGGCATTCATAAGTCCGAAGGGCATGACAAGGAACTCGTAGTGCCCATCGTGAGTTCGAAAGGCAGTTTTATAGACATCCTGACTGTCGACCCTGATTTGGTGATAACCAGACTTCAAGTCTAACTTAGAAAAAAATTTCGCACCATGTAGCTCATCAATGACAGGAATGGGATACTTATCTGGTACGGTAACCTTGTTTAGAGCCCGATAATCCACACAAAAATGCCGGGAACCATCCTTCTTCTTAACCAGCAAAATCGGACTCGAGAAGGGACTACTGCTGACTTGAATTATTCCAACAGTAAGCATTTCCTTGATCAATCTCTCAATCTCATCCTTCTGAGCGTGAGGATAGCGATATGGTCGGACACTAACCGGTTGGCTGCCTTCTTTGAGCACAATAGAGTGTTCATGTCTCCTAATAGGTGGTAATCCCGAAGGCATGTCGAAGACAATTTCATGATCTTCCAAAACTTGGTGAATAAATTGCGGCACCTCGGGACTCGCTTCCCTCAAACCCTCCAGTTGATTAAGCTCCACCAAAATTCCAGCTCCCTCACATTTAATGGTTCGCATCATAGCTTTCAGAGAAACCAGAGTCTTCCTAAGGGGGGGATCCCCCCGTAGAGTGACGGACTCATTACCGAGTCTAAATTTCATCACTTGCATCTTCCAGTTTGTATGAGTCATCCCCAGAGTCTCGAGCCACTGAATTCTCAAAATTACATCAGAACTCCCCAACCCAANATTTAATGGTTCGCATCATAGCTTTCAGAGAAACCAGAGTCTTCCTAAGGGAGGGATCCCCCCGTAGAGTGACGGACTCATTACCGAGTCTAAATTTCATCACTTGCATCTTCCAGTTTGTATGAGTCATCCCCAGAGTCTCGAGCCACTGAATTCTCAAAATTACATCAGAACTCCCCAACCCAAGAGGCAAGAATTCTTCCACAATATCAAACCCCCGCAGATGAAGTGTTATTCCACTGCAAAAGCCTTCTCCACGTACAACATTACCAGTTCCCATAGCCACTCCATAAACCTCAGTTTTAACAACAGGTATTTGAATTCTATTAACCAAATCTAAGGAAATGAAATTGTGGGTGGCACCTGGGTCAATCAATACCACAACCTCCTGCTNACCCCCGCAGATGAAGTGTTATTCCACTGCATAAGCCTTCTCCACGTACAACATTACCAGTTCCCATAGCCACTCCATAAACCTCAGTTTTAACAACAAGTATTTGAATTCTATTAACCAAATCTAAGGAAATGAAATTGTGGGTGGCACCTGGGTCAATCAATACCACAACCTCCTGCTCACCGATCATCCCCTTCAATTTCATCGTCTTTGGATTAGTCAAACTCACCACCGAATTGAGCGAGACTTCTGTCATTTGATTAAGCTCAGTCGCCTCCAATTCGAGCTCCGGCTCTTCGCCCTCACCTTGCTCTCCTTCCACATCATGGGTAAGAAGGACATTCAATTCCTTCTTCTTGCAGATGTGCCCAGGCGCCCATTTTTCATCGCACCGATAGCACAGCCCTTTTTCTCGTTTCCTTTGAAGTTCCGAATCGGAAAGCCTCTGCACCTCTCTGGAAAATTTTCTTGAACGATTTCTCCCAAAAGTTGATCGAGAAGCTTCAGAGTGGAAGCTTGTGCCCTACGTTGGCCCCCCTGCTCGATGAAACCCACTGGCCGGTGGTTTGTGGGCTTTGGTCACCCATAGCTTTTTTTCTATCTTTTGGGCCAAATCCATGGCCCAGCCCAAGTTGTTGGGTTCCAAGATCCGGACCTCAACTTTGATCTCTGATTTCAACCCATTAATGAAGTTACCCAGAGCTACTTCATCAGAGACATTCTCCAATGGCGCCGATAACTCGATGAACTTCCGGCGATACTCCTGCACGCTGCCGATTTGAATAAGAGCCAACCACTGTTCATGGAGTGAGCCAGCTTGGGTCGTTTGGAACTACTTCAAGAGAAGCATCTTCATCTCTTCCCAAAGGACAATGGATCGCTTCCTATTTTCCCATTGATACCACAGTAGTGCACCTCCTTCAAACGCCATAATCGCTGCCTCAAGCTTCTCTTCATTAGTCAACCGAGGGCGAAATATCGTTCTGCCTTAAAAATCCATCCATCCGGATTCGAGCCATCGAACAGTGGCATCTCCAGTCTCCAGGATCGGAATTCATGGCGAAATCCATTTGAATTTGAGCCGTCGTCTAAACCATGAGATTCCCCCTTGTACGGAAACGATCCGCCTCGAGCCGTATCTTCTTGCAATTTGAGGAACTGTTCGAATCGTTTGTTAATATTTTGTATTTCCTCCTTCAACGTTCCCACTTCTCGTTGGAACTCTTCTTGCATGGCACCAACCACTTCCTCCATGGAATCCATCCGCTGAGCAACATTTTTGGCTGCCATCTCCTAGGTACGTTTGCTCTGATACCAATTTGATACACACTGGGATGAAAATAGACTTAGCAACACAGATAAAGGTAAAAAAATGGGTGAGAGAAACTTTTATTCACTATCTGAATAGTTCCAGACTTTCCAAGCATTCAAGAGGCTTGGGAACTCTCCAAAATGAGCAAGCTCACTACAAAACAAATATTTTTCATACCCTTCCACTAACCAACCTTTCCCCTTATATTCTCCTCACCCCCTAGGCCAAAATAGAACACTAGCAAATACTAACAGAATGCCAAAACTTACTCCCTAACAGAAATGCAAAACAGAATTGCATATTAGCTCCCCTTTTCTCTAACCACTTCTTACACGTCAGCTATGATCTAGATTTTCGGAATGACCCTTGCGCGTAGAATAGGTGAAATGCACTTGTGGCCTAACATTACACTTTCTCATAGAGAGAATTATTTCATAGCTTTTCTTAGGTAAGACTCCTCCCATGTAATTGGTGGTGAGTGGGGGATCCCATTCTATTTTTTAGGGAATGAAGTTTACGAATTTACTCATATCCGTCCCTCTTTCATTCCTTACTACTGTTTCTTGACTTTTACTTTCTAGTGTGCATTTTTTTTAGTTTATTTTTAATTTAAATAAACTTTATTTAAGTTTGATGAGTATATTACAACCCCGCATCTCTCGCTTTGGAAGAAGGTGGAAATAGCAGAAGCACTTACTACTGGTGGTTACTAAAGCTGATGAAAATTTCCCAAGAATGATGCATTAATGTCGCCTAGAAAATGCTGGGAGCCCACAAAAGAACTTGACCTTGTCATATCTTTAAGGAACAGAATTCATTGTGGCTTTTTGGATGGCAAAGTTCATTTGGTTGCCCTTACTGTTACATCACACAATAAAATTGCAAATAATCTTATGTTCTCTTGTTTGGCTAGTCTTTTTGCTTGTATCCTGTTTAGTTCCCTGATATATCTTTAGATTGTGTCGATAAAAACTGGGACATTGTTTCACTGTTGTGTTTTGTAATGTTTGGCCCTGTAGGTAAAAATGCATATGCATTGTCAGTTCTGAGGCGGGTAGAAATGAAACTGGATGGCCGAGATATTGCTGATAACAGGTACTTGCTTCGCCTGAAATTCTTTGCTAGTCTCTTGGTGAAATTTGTGTTGACGGTGAATTATGTGTGTACGTTCCAGAGAAATGAGTATTGCAGATCAAGTGGATTATCTACTTAAACAAGCAACCAATGTAGATAATCTTTGCAGTATGTATGAAGGTTGGACACCTTGGATTTGAACTTTGAAGCCTATTCGTTTATATAGAATTGGTTTTGATCCGAGAGTATCACAAGAAGATGCATTCTCAGTTGCTGGGTTTTATCATTCCCTTCTACTACTGTTGGTGAGAGGCTTGTGTTTTGGACTGTGTTCAGTGTAAGCCACTATGCATATTGCCAGAGCATGCCATGTTTCTAATGAGCTTTTTCTGAGTTCGGGTTGCTGTTGGTGAGACATATTTTGTGGGGCGCCATACACGAGCAGCTTTACAGATTTGCAGAAAAGCTTTCAACCTTACTTGGATTATGCGTTGTTCTTCTCGAGCAAGAAGTTCCCTGGCTGTGTGTACACTTGCAGTTTTATGACTTCTCCTGTCAACAAGCAACTGCTTTATGAGGTTATTGGATATGGAACTATCTTAAGGATCGAGGTTGGACTGTTCCACAGTTGTTACATGAAGAAGCGCCTCCTTTGTTGGTCAAAGCCTCCTGAGATGGTACAGTTTTTGCATGTTGGCTGTGTGCACTAAGTTGAAGATCTCAAGGCTTATCCTCTCAGATATGTTGGGTTGATGGCACAAGCACTGTTAACTTGCAATGATGTGCTTTAAGAGGTTTACTACTTGCTTTGTGTCATGGTGGATAAATTGATGAAGTCTCTTGTTAGATTTCTTTTCCTTACTGATGCTGGTCTGCAGGTCAAGCTGCTAACTCCAGCGTAGAGCATTTGCTCATCGACGTGGACACCTAGATATCATTTGGTAAGTTGCGATGTTCGTAGTTTTTCCTTAGTACAATGTGTACTTTCGAGGAGGCAGATTTTATATATCGATCCTTAAAACAATCCTATTTTTCTATCCCTATATATAACAATTTGATACTGCTTTTGCAGGCTTTTTTTGTGTTTACATGGGCAGGGGCACCGATGTTCCTCAATTAGTTTTATTTGGGGAGAGTCTTCGCACTTTGTGATGTTAATTCTCAGGTTTATACTATGGAATTGGGATGGTTGTTTTTTTTTAATGGCTGGTAGGAGCATTAAAGACTTGGAAGGCATAAAACGTAAGAANGTAGTTTTATTTGGGGAGAGTCTTCGCACTTTGTGATGTTAATTCTCAGGTTTATACTATGGAATTGGGATGGTTGTTTTTTTTTTAATGGCTGGTAGGAGCATTAAAGACTTGGAAGGCATAAAACGTAAGAATTTATGTTATGTTACTTTTTTTGTTTATCTTTCTCACTTTTTTTTTCCTGTTATTTCCATTTGGATCCTATTTATCCCGGATAGCAATGTTGAACACCTTTAACCTATTTTCTATGTCATGCTTGAATCTAGAACTTGATCAGGGATGTCCTCACTCACCTGCACAAATCTGAATAACATAAGACTAATATTTTTAGAAACATGTTTTGATGGTTGATTACTAATATCATTTTGCGGCATGAATAAGGGCACAAGTTTGATTGCAGGTTAGTGACAGATGGTGGTATTTCAAGGGTGCAAGTTGTTTATGATACAGATTCTTTCCGATACAATTTTTCTTATGTTCCGTTTGGTAAGAAGAATGAAAAGTAGGAAGGATAAAAAGTAGGAGGAATACACTTTCTATCTTTTAAAGATGGAAAGTAGGGATAATATATTTTCCTTCTTTTCTGTTTGGTTGGATGGATGGAAATATAAAAATGATTAATTTTTTTTTTTTTGTAATGACTAAGATTAGGGTTGACAATTGAGTCGACACGTGTCGTGTCAAATTCGTGTTGAGTCATAAAATTATAAGCTTTTATATTTCTTTTTCTCATGGCAGGTCATTTTTAAGTTCGTGTCGAGTTATAATCAACTTCGTGTCATAAAATTTGTGTCGAGTTCGAGTCGTGTCATCGTATTGAGTCGAAAATTTTCATCACTAGTTAAAATAAAAAAAAATATTTTTTTTTAATTTAAATTTTTTATTTTTTTATTTAAAAATATATATATATAAAATACATTTTAACACAAATAATTAATTTTTTATTTATTTTTCTTCCGATTTTAGAGGGATTGATTTTGGTGAGTTGAAAGAAAAGTTAATTCATACATTTTTTTCATTTTTTTTTCCTTACCAAATTTGATATTTTATTTATCCTTCAAATTTTACATCCTTCTATTTTTCTATCGTACTAAACGGAGTATAAATGTTCTAATGGTAGATCAGCTGTTACATTTCACCATATAGAAGTGGATTTGGTTGAATGTTAAAGGAGGGAATGTTGGGTAAAATTTTGGATGGTAGTCTTCTGTTGTTTTTTTGGCTATTTGAGTCTTTTTATCTTTTATACCTTGCGTAGTAGCTAAGAGCTATTTAAAACAGAACTCCTGAAAAAGCTTATCAGCTATGCAGGTAACATGGGTTTCAATGTTATTAACCTCTTTTATAATCTTAACATGGATGTAGATATTCTAAAATACACTTGTTTTTAATAATAAATCATTCCTCACGTATTATTGAAAGACCCATTTATACGTAGTAATGACAGTTTGTAGTTGACTCATAAATAATAATTTTTCATAAAAGGAATTAAGGAAAAATATAATATAAAAATGTATTATTTTCTAAGGGATGGCCTAAAATAGAATTTTATAATATTTTTGGAGGNGAAAGGAATTAAGAAAAAATATAATATAAAAATGTATTATTTTCTAAGGGATGGCCTAAAATAGAATTTTATAATATTTTTGGAGGTGCAGGGAATCGAACCCCGTGCCTCTCGCATGCAAAGCGAGCGCTCTACCATATGAGCTACNAAAAGGAATTAAGGAAAAATATAATATAAAAATGTATTATTTTCTAAGGGATGGCCTAAAATAGAATTTTATAATATTTTTGGAGGTGCGGGGAATCGAACCCCGTGCCTCTCGCATGCAAAGCGAGCGCTCTACCATATGAGCTACACCCCCTCTTTTGTATGCTTCATTGCGTAATAAATAAATCTTAATATTGTCAATTGATTCTTAATGAAATCCCTACTTCAAACCTTATTTCTTTGTAAAGAATTTTGGGAAGAAAAATGTTATCTTTCTTAAATTTTTTTACCAAAATTTTCATTCTAAATGATGTGGTAGATTATTAATATAACTTAATTATTTGATAGTGAAAAATTGTGTCACATCATTTGAGATGAAGATTTGGTAAAAAAATTGGTAAATATAACATTATTCATCAGTAAAATCAATGGAAGAGATAATTATTTGAATAATGATTTGGTCACCACTTTTCTTACTTCACCTGATATGGCACAATCAAAATCATTAGATATTTAATAATTGGGAAAATTTTAGTCATCCCCCTTCTTATTTACCATATCTTAAAGGACACCATTTTTATTATCCAAAGCATCACTAATTAAAATTTTCTCAAAATTTGATTTTAACTGATTAAATTTTATTATTTTCACGTATTAAAATTCGAGCCTATTAAGCTCTACTTAAGCTATTAGCTCCGATTAAAATTCGCTCAAATCGATTAAAATTTATATTTTTTTATTAATATTCAATTCAAGTTGATTAAAATTTATTTTTTACGTATTAAAATTTTAGTCAATTAAAAATTATATTTTTTTATGTATCAAAATTTAAGCTGATTAAAATTTAATATGAGTTAATTAAAATTTGATTTGAGCCTCGAATAAAATTTTAATCGACTCAAATTTTTATACGTAAAAAAATATAATTTTTAATCTATTCAAATTTTTATTAACTTGAATCGAATTTTAATCGATCCAAATTTTAATTGGCCTGAATTTTAATATATAAAAAAATTTAGGTGGTTTCATTAAAGATATATCCATCTAGAGGTGGTGTGGATAAAATTTTTCTTAAAATATATCATGGATAATTTAATAAAATTACATTTTAATAGAGTGTTAGTGAAAATTAAAAAAATAGATGAGATGTCCTTGATGTGGTTGAAATTTTTCCTTAATAATTTAATAGTCTAAGTTGAGGTGGAGCACAAATGTGATAAATATAGTGTATTTTCTTAGTAGTACCTTCTGACAATTAAAATCCATCAAAGTTTTAATTTCCTCGTAAATATTGGGCGTAATCATTATATCATGTCAACAATACTAATATAGTATAATCATCTAAAAAAAATAACAAAAATGATAAAATAAGGTCTATTTTTTATTATGGAGGTAGTTATATAATACATGACTAATTGATTATGAGTTTTAGTGGGACTCATTTATTAATTTATTTACTTATTAATAAACTGTCACACCACGTCCATACTTTATCTTGGGCAAGAAGATATTAATTTTGGAATGTCACGATATCACTTTTAGAATGTCACGTCACGTAACGTTTAAGAGAGAATCTATAATAGCAAAACAATAGTGGGACCTTAACTTCGACCTCAACATATGTGCAATGAATTTTTCTACAAATAATTGTGTGATGCTAAAAGACAATACTTATCTAATATTTTTTTTCTCAACAGGTCTAGTATGACTTTTTTATCACATAGGCAAACTCAAAGTTATTTAGCCGTTCTCGCTAACCGCACATACTATTCATTGTATTTAATCCCCATATTCAATTGATTAGGCACTTTCTTCGGTTGAAACGAGAGATAATGGTAGTCACCCTCCTCCACTTCTTGGAACTTATGAACAATCCAAGCACTTATTAAGCCCAAAATTTTTCCCCAACAACTTTAACTCCCGTTGAAACATTCTGTCGGAGATTATGGTGTCATTTTAAAACTAAAAGTAGTATTCATTTTATTTTATTTTTTTGAGTAACAGTAGTATTCATTCAAAATAAAATAAATAGCTTACATAAATTATATGAAGTATACTATTGCTATTCTCCAAAATTAGGAGAGCACGTCACACACAAATAAAATAAAATAAAAGCATTGTCTCCTCCCATTTAAAGAATCAAAATAAATGTGCATCTCCTAACAATAGTAATTTCTACGCATTAGTCATCGTCAAGTCTTCATCTATATAACCAATTAGATAAAACAAAATTAATCACTAAATAACANTAAAATAAAAGCATTGTCTCCTCCCATTTAAAGAATCAAAATAAATGTGCATCTCCTAACAATAGTAATTTCTACGCATTAGTCATTGTCAAGTCTTCATCTATATAACCAATTAGATAAAACAAAATTAATCACTAAATAACACAAAAATTAAAGATAATATGTGAATTAAATCATATATTATGCATTTGTTTTTTAATTTATCAAAAATCCTACATAGGTGGTGTCACATAATTTTTCTTTGTTTAATAATTTAGAAACCTGAGATATATTAAATATTACATATGTTTTATGTCATACACGTTAGTAAATATATAGACCATCTTGGCTAAGATCTGCACATCTATTTTTCTCCCCCTCATCTTCTTTTGCTCGAGACAATTAACCAAAATTACTCAAGTAATCCAAGAATATACTACTCTTGAAATTTAAAAAAATTTAAAATTACAAAACAATAAAATTTAGTTTATTGTCATAACTCACTAAATTAAGATACAAACGATTCTCCCATCTACATAATAAAATAACTTATAATTCAAATTTCAAAAAATAAATAAAATGACTTTTACTATTCATGATTAAAATCGCTTTAAATTCTATTTTAAAAATAATCTAACAACTAATATTAATACCTTAAATTTAATATAAATAATATGACCATAAGAGTGTTTAAAGTGACTTTTTAAAATTATTTCTCATAAATACTTTAAAAAAAAATAATGTTTGAAACCACCTCATCACTACTTTTACCACCACCGTCGCTGCTGCTGCTGCCATCACCGTCGTCGTCGTCGCTATTGTCACCACCACCGCCACTGCCACAGCCACAGCCACAGCCATCACCACCACCACCACCATCGCCACCGCCACCGCCACCGCCACAGCCATCACCACCCACCGTCACCATCACCCCCCGCCACCGCCACCATTACTGCTCTTGCCGCCACCACGATCATTGTCACCAACCACAACCACTATTGTCTCCTACCACCACTACCACTACCACTACCACTACCACTACCACTACCACTAACACTGACACTGACACTGACACTCACCATCTCTCACTCTACTACAAATCAATATTTAAATTATTTTATCTCTTCTCTGTATTTGTGATTTAATTTTGGATATAAATACAAATATATTTTTTATTTTTTATTTTTTATTATTATGTGTCTTCAAGCACGGACAACACCTAGTCATCTACTAAAACAACAGAGAAAATCAATATATTAACATTTCATAACTTCACATACGTAATAGAGAGGATTTATTTTAATTCCAAGGCTGAGTCCTGTGTTTACTAAGATTGATGCTTGAATATAGTGCTACAAGTCTGAATGAATTGCGGACCATGATTCAAGGTGTCGTATTGGCAATCCCTTCAAATCATGGTTGTGCCATCTTTTCAGCTGGGCCACTTAATAAACGAAGAACACTTCCAAAACATTTCAATCATCTTAAAGTTAATGCAATCTTGATCCACTTCCAACGCAAGAGTTACAAATCCATCAATGCAATCACAAGGAGGGATTCAACCAAAATTGGACATAAATAGAACATAAACTGGTCCACAATAAACCAAAACAAAACTACTACTTCCACCAGTAGATCATATAGAAAAACAGATAATCTGGAAAATTTAAGACCAAACAACTACTGATACCAGTAAAAGTAATCAAAGTTTTAGCAAATAAGAGAAACAAATGATATTGAAGGAGCACCTAATCAAACAGACTGAATCCCATATCGTCATCACTCTCTTCCTTGGGTTCTTCCTGTTAAAATTCATCAAAAATAAAGCCACAGTTAATCATCAACATTTCCATTTCCTTCAATAAATCAAAAGAACAAAAAAAATGAAATCTGTTTTCTTTTACCTTCTTTTCCTCAGGAGGAGAGGCGCCCGCGGCAGCAGCAGCGGCTCCACCGGCTGGACCACCAACAGCTACCGGAGCAGCACCGCCACCGCCACCGCCACCAGCCCCGACATTCAACACAAGGTCTTCTATGCTCCTCTTCTCGGCTAGCTTGGCGAACAAGCCTGGCCAGTAAGATTCAACGCTCACGTTCGCTGCTAAAAGTAATTTAGCAATCTTCTCCCCCTGGTATTTAACAAAAAAAATTATAATCTAAAACTACAATTGAATAATAAATCAACAAAAAATAAATCTCACTTTATATTACTACACTAAATCAATGATTGTACAATCTTCTCCTCATGTTATCTATGCAAATTAATTTAAATATCTATGAATGCAATAAAATCAAAGATGTAGAAAAGGAGAAAACAATACATAAAGAAACATATGTATATATATGAATGCAATAAAATCAAAGATGTATACGAGGAGAGAGAAATATGCGCACGGTGATGGGAATGCCATCGTCGCTGAGGATCAAAGTAGCATAAGTGCAAGCGAGTTCAGGAATCGACATCTTCTACTTCAATCTTTTTCTCTGTGGAATAAATGATATCTGAAAGATTTAACAGATGATTATTGTGAAAATAACAGATCAAATCGGTAAAATAGAGATAACTATTAAGAAGCAGCAAATACTTGAAGAATTATCTATCAGAGAGAGAGAGGCAGAGAGAATTGAAGGAATTTTACCTAAGGAGAAAGAGATGTGACACTGGTGCGGCGCTGCTTCTTCTAACTAGGGTTTCGGTTTGGGGGAGATGTAGCTGTATATATAGAGAGAGAAGAGAGGAGAGAAGGCTTTAGGTTTTTGAATGGGTTTCGGCTGGGCTGGAGAATATAACCTTTGGGGGCCCATATTGCGAAGGAGGTCTATATGTGAAGAGTGGCCCAGATCTTAATTGTCTAGGTAAATGTGGGCTGAGTCCAACAGTTGCACCCCCCAACCTGCCAAACTGAGATTAAGACTATTTATGTTATATCTAAATCTAAATCTTTGAAACGTTATATAATTTATTCGGATTCAGATAGTCGGTTAAAAATATCAATTCATGCTAGCTAATAGAATTTTATAGTTGGATCAGATTTAGGTCAAAATCGGATATATTAACAAATCCCAATAAATACTGGGACCCACAGTGAAATCAATAGTTATAATTATCAAGTCTACTTTTTAAGTCTATGTAACATTACTCTATGTAAAAGTATCTCCAATAATAATCTCTATTTTATAGAACATCTTTTTCTCAACTCGACTAGAACTCTATATTCTAATGTCAAAATAACCTCTAGAGTCAAAGCATTTAATGAAACATTTATATGTGTAATATTTTCATTTATTAATTATAAAAGCAAAAAGTGAGTTTAATTCTAAAAATACGGAGAGTCAAATTAAACTCTCTATTTTAATTAGATTAAATAAAAAGTCTATTAAAGATAGATTTTTAGTGGTTTAACTATCTGAAATAGAGAGCAGAGTGAGAATAGAAAACTAATGAAAGATGCTCTAAAAGAATTACATTTAATTTTTAGAATATTAAACTATTCTTGAATTTTTGATACATTTTCCGATGAGAGAAAACATTTTGAAAGTTATAAATCTTTTAAAATTTGAAATTTAACCCAAATATTTTTTGAGCTGCACATGGGGGGCAACTTCCCTATTTCCCCCACCCTTCCTCCACTCATGGTCGTACATGAATAACTTAATTTTTCAACGATTGTCCTATTTTACTAATATTGTACGAAGGCATAATCCCTTGCACAACCTCTAGAGCTAGAATAAAGGGGAGGCCTAGAAAAGTAGTCCATAATACATGTTATGGAAGGAGATTAATGAAACAACCTCACCCTTGCTTAACTCTTGTTTCCGTAAATTGAATATTAACATCTAAAAATATATTTTGCATTACCCAAATTGTTATACATTGATCTTTTGGTTATATTAAACTTTAGGTCTTTACGAGCCAAACATAAAATATATCAATGTAGGGTTGGACTTATATGAACTATAAATTAGAATGTCAGAGGTTCAACCATGATTAGTGGTGGGGCTCTAGGTGGCTTTACAGTCCCCAGACTGACACGTGGAAAGATGGAGTCGTTCTGATGTCCAAGAGGCGCCGAAGAAGTAAGTCGAGATATGGTATCTCAAATGAGCCGAGTACAACAGCTGACATCGTATTTAATACGATGTGACCTCTCATTTATAGAGGAATGAGTAATGGTGATAAGGCTATTAATGAGCGTCTGCGAACNTTGATGTCCAAGAGGCGCCGAAGAAGTAAGTCGAGATATGGTATCTCAAATGAGCCGAGTACAACAGCTGACATCGCATTTAATACGATGTGACATCTCATTTATAGAGGAATGAGTAATGGTGATAAGGCTATTAATGAGCGTCTGCGAACGCCTGCATTCTGAGAGTCTAGGTCTACCATCATAATGGTTAGGCATTGATAGCTACTATGCCAAGTATATACAATCGACTCTCTCCAAAGAACTGTTTTCCCGAGTATTCAATGCTGAGTTGCGGGGGTGTCAGATGTCGATCTGAGGAATGTGGATACTTGGGAAAGGACATAAATGCTCGGCATAGAGTCGAACACTCGTCCTATCATCTTAGCATTAAATAGGAGAAACCTTGAGTGGAAAACACTTATTGCACGAGGAGTGACATGTCAGACATTAAATGTCCATATGAGACTGGAGGTCTTTGACAATCATTGCAAATTCAGGTATAAATACTCTTCAGAAAAATGAATAAATGTACGCAAAATTGAACCAAAAAATATTATTCATTGAGGTTGAACCTCGAATTTNAACATTAAATGTCCATATGAGACTGGAGGTCTTTGACAATCATTGCAAATTCAGGTATAAATACTCCTCAGAAAAATGAACAAATGTACGCAAAATTGAACCAAAAAATATTATTCATTGAGGTTGAACCTCGAATTTTGAGATTGACTTAAGCTTCATAGAGGATAAGCCGGTGTTCACTTGACCCCCTTTTTTTTTGACTCTGTGATTGTTTCAAGTTCATCAGATTGGAGGTCGCTATCTCAAACGATTACAGAAATTATCCCGTGCAATTAGTGTTTCTCAGAGCTAACTGAAACTTATGATTTATAAGTGATTGTAGGTATCTAGCGCAATGATAAATCTAAAGTGACCTTAACTTTAAATTGTTTCTTATTATTTAAAAAAAACATAAAATATTTACCATATGGAAATGAATTACAAATGCATTTCTTTAATTACTAGACCACAAATTTTTGGTCACATATTGCTTTACTATATACAATGTAGAATGTTGAATGAATAAAGCAATGCAACAAATAAACTACCCAAAATACAAAAACAAATTATTATTATTTTTTTGACATGTTTTCGACCCACCCCTCAGGTCCTACTATCAGAACTTCAGGCATGGATTTTTTGTAATCCCGTAGGGGTGTTGTTCCCTTAAACGGTGTCATTTTATACTTGAAATGCCGACGTCTTATACGCAAAACAGCATCGTTTAGAAGAACAACACCCTCTTGCACAGGAATATAGCTGTACCCAGTACTTCTCAAAGTTGAGTCTTTTGCAAAAAAAAAAAACATCAATTTAGTTTAGGATTTAGGAAGCTCATAACTGGCCGGCTTCAAATTAGGTGCATGCTCGGACACCCTCCAAAACTTCACAGACTTGTCCAAACTCCCACTATACACAATCCACCGTTGATCAACATCCTTCTTCTCTTGATCATGATCCATCTTAACGGCCAGGCATTTCACTGGCCCACTATGACCAGTCAGCACAGACACGCACGTGTGGACCCCAGCCTCCTTTCTCCTCCAAACACATATACTCTTGTCCGCCGACCCACTGAACACCAACCCACCACCCACCGCTAAGCACAACACCGCCAACTTGTGACCCTTAAGCACACCGCCGTGAGCCATAAAATGCTTCTCCCTCTCCCAAAAAGTCACCAACCCGTCTGATGATCCGCCGTACACCACCTCCGCAGCCGCGTTCACAGCCAGCGCCGTCACCGCGTTTTCTTGATTCAACAATGTCTGTACAAGAACATGTTTTACCGTCTTCCCCACCAATTCTCTCCTCCAAACCTTCACTGTCCCATCTGCTGAGCCTGTGAAAATCAACCCATCAAAGCCTACGGCCACTGAATTTACAGCATCGTCATGGGCGTTAATGGAGTCTAAGCACTTATAATCAGAGAGTCTCCAAACTTTTAGGGTTTTATCCCAAGAACCCGAATAAAGAAACCCATTTTCTTCATCCAAACTCATGCATGAAACTGCATCGAAGTGTTTAATCCATAGAACGTTACGGTGTCTTCTAACTTCTACATAGTTCTTCGGATTCATAGAGCTCTTCAGATAATCTCTGGTCGTGGGTAAATTGCCAACCCGTTTGTAAACTGTCCGTTTATTCTTCGCCGGAAGTTTCCAAATTCGAATTTTTCCGTCCTGATGGCCGGTGAAAATTTTGTCGCCGGAAGTGACGATGGCTTTGACTAATCCACTTCTGGATTTAAACCCGGAAAAATCCTTCAAGTTCTTCCACACCCTTATGTTCTTGCTGTCTGATCCTGTGTATAAAAAGTCACCGGAAGTGGCTAATGAATATATATGACCCTCTTCACGAACAAGCGAACCAATAAGACCGTTTGGTACCAAGTTATCATCATTATACGAATACGAGTCCATCGAAGAGGCTTGTGTCCATGGAGATTTTACATAAGGCGAGTGGCTGTTGTTCCATGGTGACATGAAATATGGAGAAGGAGAAGCATTGGCGCTATTGGGATTAGACATATCGGAGAACGGAGGGCTAGGATCGGAGACGGAAGCGGAACTGTCACGGCGAGAGTAGGTGTTTTCGTCTCGAACAATTGAAAGGTTAGGATCGGAGGACAAGAGGGTACCGAATTTTGGCCGGCGGAGACTTGTTTTCGCCGGGAATACCGTAGAACCTCTCTCGTTCGTCATTGTAGATGGTATAAGAATAGGAAGAAAAATTGAGCCTTTGATGGTTTTTAGAGTATGAATGAGTAATTTTGGGGGAAGGGGAGAGAGAAGACAAATGTTTTGTGGAGCATCTACGAAAGGTTGGGAAGGGGATGGTGCAGTATATATAACGGCTAGAGCTACGCCGTCCAATAGTGCTGCCTATTACGTGTACGTGGAAACTACAGAGTAACACCCTTAAGGTTGTAAAATAATAGTTAGGCCCCAATAGTTTTTAGAGCAATGTTTTAGAGACTTAATTCAATGCAAATATTGAATTATTTGTAAGTTCTAATGTTATATAAAATCTATATTTAATTCAACAACTTTGAAATTAACAACAATAAATCTAAACTTTATCATAGTATGATTTTATTAGAAAATAATTTTGTTTGTTTTTGAGCTATAGAGGAAATCACGACTAACTGGGTTCCTTCATAAAACAATCAAATTAACAAACTAATTCACACCTAAATTTTCAAGGCCAATAGTACATTGATTCCCCACTCCAAGAGTATGCTTAGGAGAGGGGAACATAATTTTGGTACATAAGAATAACAAGAATGTGGTCTAGAATTGCTACCAGTAGTATTATGCAACTCAAGACTAATTAATCTCAAAATGGAGGATTAAAAAAAGGTAAGATAAATTCTAAAAATAGAAATTCAAAAACTTAAAATCCAATCGAAAAGGTTTTCTATAAACTAGGACATTGTTGTTGAAATATCATTTTATTAGGGAGAAAGATATAATATTACCTAAGTTTAGTAGGGGTGTTATGTAATTTACTTGGTATTTACTACAGGCTCGTATATGAATGCGTCGTCACAGGGCGTGGGGCTAGTAGGTAGGCGAAAGGTGAGCGAGAAGGACACGTGTTGGGATGTTACGTGAGGGTTACATTTTTGGTTGCTCCGGTAAGGGTGTGGAGGGGGCGACCACGTGTCATGTGGAATGGGGCTTACTAATTAGGATAAGGTCTGAATTTTCACTTTTTGACATGTTTTTCATTTTTGGGGATGAGAGGGGTGATGACCTATGACTTGTCTCATGAACAATTCTAGCGTGGTTCAATTTTTTTTTTTTTTTAGCCATAAGGTGATTAGGGTTGGGTCGACAGTTTAATAGTTTAGTAATTATGATTTAAATTGGGTTAAAGTATGACACAAAGAGACAAATTATTAAAGAATGTGAAAATAAATTGAATTTGAGACATTTAAATTATCAAAGACCAATTTCAATCACTAAACCAAAAAAATTTCTAGTGTGATTCTATATTTTCGGTGGAAACTTGTCTTGATGTATCCTTTTGAACTTGACATCAATTAGACAAACCACTTTACAACTAATAGCCTTAGACATATATTATCGCCTAGGTGGTTCAGTAGNCAAACTTATCTTGATGTATCCTTTTGAACTTGACATCAATTAGACAAACCACTTTACAACTAATAGCCTTAGACATATACTATCGCTTAGGTGGTTCAGTAGGGTATCGATCGTATTTTTTACCATAAAGTTAAAAGTTTGAGTCATAGAGTCTACATTGAAGTTCAATAGTTGACTGTTATGTTAATTTATTTAAGTTTATTTCCAAGAGAAGTAACGAGCGCAGTCAGGAATCTCATGATTCCACTAGTGAAGGTTTATCGAAATANGAAACTTGTCTTGATGTATCCTTTTGAACTTGACATCAATTAGACAAACCACTTTACAACTAATAGCCTTAGACATATATTATCGCCTAGGTGGTTCAGTAGGGTATCGATTGTATTTTTCACCATGAAGTTAAAAGTTCGAGTTATAGAGTCTACATTGAAGTTCAATAGTTGACTGTTATGTTAATCTATTTAAGTTTATTTCCAAGATAAGTAACGAGCGCAGTCAGGAATCTCATGATTCCACTAGTGAAGGTTTATCGAAATAATCTCTAAGCGTTTTTTCAAACCAAAAAAAAAATCCTTAAGACACATTGTTTTAATTTAAAAAAAAAAACATAAATGATCGACCTTCAATAATGTCATTGTGTCATAACTTTGACATACTCGAGTCATTATCTCATCTTATTAAACTTATAACTTTTATTACAACACTAATATATTACTTTTGAATATCGTAATTTTTTTTTATAATGAAGAATTTTTTTGAGTTGTGTAATTTGAAAAAATATTGCATGATCACTAAATAGTACATGACAGTGTTTTGCGGTGTATGTTCTCAATCAAATTCTGTTATTTGCGAAGCTTTCATTTAAAAAAAAAACAAAATTAACTTACGAATCTGATAAACAGGTGTTATAACAATTTTTTATTAAATATATNTTACATGACAGTGTTTTGCGGTGTATGTTCTCAATCAAATTCTGTTATTTGCGAAGCTTTCATTTAAAAAAAAAAAAAAATTAACTTACGAATCTGATAAACAGGTGTTATAACAATTTTTTATTAAATATATGTATCACATAGTACTGTCATCTAATGTCTTATACGAGCCGAGAATTTTCTCGAATAATTCAGAGCTAGAATGCATAAAAAATGTGAAGAAGAAAAACAAAAGTTGAATGGCACAAGTTGGGATGGACCGAACCTTAGTCAGGCAAAATACATTTACTTTGGTTTTTCAAGGTTTGTGAAACTATACATGGAACCACACAGCAGCGTGACGCCTCAAAACAACTGCTTTTTTTTTTGTTTCACATTTCACGAGCCAAAATGTCAACGGTCATAATTATCAGCTACCTACAAATGGAAACGCTGGTGAAAATGGAAAACGTCAACGGTCATTGGTTGTGTAACATTTTCATATTTAAAAAAGTTCATTTTGGGCAAGTTGTTGACTTTAAGAATCGTCTTACAGAGCAACCACGTATAGGTGTTTAGTGATTATTTAATTTAAATCAATGTTATCAGAGTTAAATCGGTCATCGAGCCGACAAAAGGATTGGGTCAATGGTTCATTAATTCAACCGTTGTGTCAATTGATTAGGCTAGTTATATAATAAAAAAATATATATAATAATTATAAAACATAATAATACTGAATATTTTGAATGAAATAAAGTAGTATTATCAATTCCCAATTCCACAATCACCATTCACAAAATTTCACAATTATCTGAAAATGGGAGTCATTTCTACACAGATATTGATTCAAATTTTGAAAAAACAGGAGGGAATGTTAATGGGTTTGGAAAGGCCATTAAAGAAGTTAATGAAATGGGCTGTAGCAGAGGATTAGTTTCTGGCAGTGGTCCTGTGGGCTTTCCAAAAGAACTTGGGCTTTCTATCTCAAAACTCAACAAAGCCCAGGTGATTTCAACCATTAATTTGTGTACTGATTTGAGTATTCAAAGCCCAATGAGGGTGGGCCATTTTAAGGCTAAATAACAGTGTTATTAGAATCGGATCAATTCAACTGTGAATCGGAATCTTAACTGGTCTGGTTCCGTTGTTAAACCCCTTAAAGAAGAGAACCGGCTAAAAAACAGAAAATTGGCATGTTCTTGTAAAAAACCATGAACCGGTGAATTTTATAAAATCGGACGATTTAATGCCAAATTAAAAATTAACGGGTATAGGGACTATCTGAGCCTTCCTAACCCTCTTGTAAGTATCTTTTCCCCTCACAAATCTCTTCAAACCATGGATTATCGCCTCCTTCTTCTCTTCATTCATAGCAAGAGTCCCAAACGTTGATGGATGATCAAAATTGATCGAACCCCAAGTTGTTCTAATACCAACCAGACCATCATTAGATAGATTCATAGCATAGAGCTTCATCACCTTGTCATTATCCTTTATCCTTTGGTACTCTTCCAAAATATGGGGTAAATACTCGTTCAACACTTTTTCTTTGAACTTCTTGCGAAAAGTGTGCTCAAAAAAGTTTTCTATGGAATACTGATCGGGTTTGGAGACTGAATGCAGGCGAATCTCCATTTTAGTTGAACATTCTGAAAAGTATCGGCAATCTCTTTGTTTTTCTCGATGCTGGTGTTGAGTTTTTTGCAACTTATGTGAACTTATGGATGATGTGTTCTTCCGTAAATTTTTAACTTTGGTAGAGATTGTGGTTTAGGGTTTAGACTTGGGAGTGATTTTTTGGTTATAGACTTGGATTGGAACTTTAAAGTTCAACTTTGATGTTTGAAATTGTATGTATTTTAAACATATTTTTCTTTTTAGTTAAATTATTATTTTTTCTAATTATTATATATATTTTTTTATTATATAATCGGTCTGACCAGTTGACCCACTAATTGAACCAATGAACCATTAACCCACTTTTTTAGCCGGTTTGATGACCGGTCTGATTGTGATAACATTGACTAAACAGCCTAAGCATTTTAATTTCAAGGATGTCCCGATTCAAACCCACACCATGTCTAGGGCTAATTTGGGTAGCCTGACAACGGAGATGGTGGTCCTCCAGTTGACGAAGACAACGAAGATCAGGAGATACAGTGTCGGGATGAGCCATTCGAAGAGGCTGCTTTAGAAGATGGAAACCACTATCATAGCGAAGACAAGAAAGACTTTGATGCACCTGTTGAGTTCGAACCGCGCTTGCGACTGCCCGTTGGATCTAATGGCTTTGATGATGTTAACACAACCTGTTTGTTTTCCGATGGGAGTGTTCAAAGACTTGAACGCTCAACTGACAACTCACGAAGTGAAGATTATGAACGCGCTTGAAATTTCAATCGACCGGGTTTGCCAAACCGTCCAATTCACAGATTTGATCCAAAATCAGCCGGAGGTTTTCAAGCGGTTTGCTTCTTTATACGGTCTAATTAGAGAATCAGACCATTTTAGGTACCGATTCAAGGTCCAACCGGTTGAACCGACTGATCTGATCCGATTTTAATAATATTGCTTTAAATGGTTGCCAAAACTTTAATATGTAAGGTAAATTACATTCACATCCCATAAATTTTGGTCAACTAACAACCAAACCCCTCTTATTTGGGAAATAACACTGCACTCCCTTGTTAGTAATGTTCGTCCCATTTTAATGACATAATTGTTAAATGACTATAATAGCCTTTAGTCCCTTTTTTTTATTTTATTTTATTTTTTTGTTAAAATTCATTTTCTCCATTCATTTTATCATAGTTATCAGAAACAGACCAGACATCGAACCGACAGAAAGACCAGTTCAGTGGTTCAATGGTTCAACCATTTAGTTAACTGTTCGAATCGATTGTATATTAAAAAATTATAAAACATAATAATTGATCTAAAAAAATATATGAAATATCCATTCTAATTTATTCATTCTATTTTCTACCTAACATGAGTAATTTATCAAATTGACTCTTAAATTATAATCACTGTGTCAATTATCACTAATTCATACGTGCCACCTGGGTTAGTGAATGGGAATTAAAGGTAATTCATTGTTTCCCAACCACCACCATTCTTTATGTCCCGACCTCAGTCCCCAAATTAACACAAGGAGACAAAAACTTATTTACAAAGAACCCATTTACTCGAATCCTACCCATTTACAAAGAACCCATAATTATGTACTACTTACCAACACTTTGTGTATTACGTGGGTGTGTGTCTGCATGGACAGAGATAGGAGGAGATATGTGGTGTGTTGTTGTTCGACAATTCGAGAGATAGATCTGTGGTGGGTTTTTGTTCAAGGGCTAGATTTGGAAGGAGACAAAGAAGACGAAGGGGCTACCTGAGTGGAAAGTCTACAGGGAAGCGAAGTGCGAAGGCCCTCAGATATGTTAGATCTATTCTCATTTTTGCAATTTAGGCCAAAATGACCCCAAAAAAATAGGTTTTTTTTTGTATATATATGGAGTGGAATCGAACCGTCCGGTTCATAATTTTGACCAAAAATCGGCTTGTTTGGCTGTTTTCATCCGATTCTATTCCTTATGCTATCTAATTATAGAATTGGATCGGTTAAAGTTCCGGGTCACGGTTGAACCGATTGAATTGTTCGGTCCAGTCCAATTCTGATAACACTGCATTTTATCGCCATTCATCTTCGCTCTTCATTTTTTCGTCCAACCTCCATGAGAACTACCACCACCAACCATTAGCTTACCACCCACCACCATTGCCCAACCTACTTCTCGGCCACCACCACCCCACCTATTTCTCCACCACCATCACCATTGGTTCACAAACACAATCGCATAACATCCAACCCATTTCACAACATGTGTATATGTACATGAGGGAAGGGGAGGGGGGAAGCTACCTGCACATCAACTCGAAGAAATCTTCCCAATTACTTACATAGCTATTTGTCAATTTAAATTCCACACAAAATCAATCAAATTCAATTAAGTGGAAGATAAGGGGTTGTCGCCTTCATGTTTGATGTACAAGATGAAGTTACAAAGGTGGGGTATTCGTCTTCATCTTTTACCTTTGCTGTCACCCTCGCCATCTTCATTCATTGTGGTGATGGATCCAAGGTGCACGGTGGCATGGTGGTTAGCTCCGATCATCATCGTTGAACAAATCTCCAACCAATTCCACAAAAATTACCGACAAACCCTTGTCACCTAACACTGTCATCTACCATCAACATTATCGCTGTGAGCCCCAAACGAAACAATGGATCTGCCACCCAACACCCCCATTCGTAAAAGTCGTTTGGGTTTATTGATATTATATATATATATATATATATATATATTTGTAGATAGATAGATAGATAGATAGATAGATAGAGAGAGAGAGAGATGATAATTAAATGGGTTGTGCCTATGTGTGTAGAGTTAGACAGAGAGAAAGGGAGAGGAGGTGGAGGGGAGGGGTGGAGAGGAGGGGTTAAGGTGGGTGCCATGGAGGGGCTGGACTGCTTTAGCAACAAGTTTAAATGTATGTGGGATCTAGAAGGTTAGAATTGGTATTTTAAAATTATAGATTGCTTATATCACTAAACTGTTAACGAATTCTTGACGGGAGATTCACGGTAGGAGGAATATGTTACTGACAACTAAAGCAAAAAGGAGTGCAGTGTTATTTCTCAAATAAAAGGGGGTCTAGTTATTATTTGATCAAACCTCAAGGGAGGTGAATATAATTTACCATAATATTTAATTGTGTTCCATTTGCCAACTGTCATATTATCAGTCGGGAAAAGACTATGGTACCATCCATGATATCGTGCCAAAAATTATAGTCTTTTAAAGTTAAGTTTTGCTCCGTTTGATAGGAAGAATGAAAAGTAAGAGGGATAAAAAATAGGAGAGATGAAAAGTAAGAGATATACACTTTTTATCCTTCAAAGAAGAAAAGTANTTCGGGAAAAGACCATGGTACCATCCATGATATCGTGCCAAAAATTATAGTCTTTTAAAGTTAAGTTTTGCTCCGTTTGATAGGAAGAATGGAAAGTAAGAGGGATAAAAAATAGGAGAGATGAAAAGTAAGAGATATACACTTTTTATCCTTCAAAGAAGAAAAGTATGAATGATATAATTTCCTTCCTTTGTGTTTGGTAAGATGGATGGAAAATAAAAATGATTAATTTTTTTTTGGTGCTTGCTAAGATTAGAGGTGACAATCGAGTCGTGTCGTGTTAAGTTCGTGTTGAGTCATTGCGGGTTCGTGTTGAACATTAATCAAACCTGATTCACACTTTTTCGTGATCGGATTAATATTATACACCCAAGTATAAGTGGTCGAATTGTAGTTTTCTCGGTTTTAAGTCCAAGNATGGAAAATAAAAATGATTAATTTTTTTTTGGTGCTTGCTAAGATTAGGGGTGACAATCGAGTCGTGTCGTGTTAAGTTCGTATTGAGTCATTGCGGGTTCGTGTTGAACATTAATCAAACCTGATTCACACTTTTTCGTGATCGGATTAATATTATACACCCAAGTATAAGTGGTCGAATTGTAGTTTTCTCGGTTTTAAGTCCAAGCATCGATCCCACGAAGAGTTTTAATAATTTGGAAACAAAATTAAAGAGTCAAGTTGCTAAGTTAAAGAGGACAACATGTGATAGCTTGTGATGTGAGCTTAGATTGATAACTAGTATAAGAAATGTAAATTTGCAGATAGATTAATACAATAATAAAAAGTATCCTTCAGTTTAAGGATTCCATATGCGTTATATTGGTTAAATACTGGAAATGCTAACGTACCAAGATTAACTCCCATTTTATTGGCAAGTCAACTGGTTGGTATGATGTATATAAACCATAGCACAACCATTTCATAGGCTAACTGGGGGTAATAAATCATAACATAACCGCTTCTTAGGCTAACTGGTTATATCCACGTCAATTGATTAACCCAAGCAAACCAGAAGGACAAACCATTCATGAGGAATACTTGAGTTATTCACTTGATCTCGTGATTATAAGTGCGTACATATTAAACCATAACACAGCCACGTCTTAGGTTTACTAGTCATATTATAGCATAACACATCAACTTCTTAGGAAAACTGGTTATAGACGTACCAATTGACTAATTCAAGTAAACTAGAAGGACAAGCCATTGATGAGGAATACTTGAATTACCCAATAGGTCATCTGTAATATATATATATATACTAGTTAAACATCCTCAGCATTCTGGTGGAGGACAAGCCATACCGGTAGGAATGCAGTGGTTGGTAGACTAGCAATATAGTTATATATAGTATTTAAATGACCCTAATAACCCAGAAGGACAAGCAATTCATGAGGATCATTTAGGTTCTGCACCACACATCAGTAGAACATCCTCAACATTTCGGTGGATGACAAGCCACACCGGTAGGAACGCCATGGTTGTTTAACCAGCGGGTCTTATGATGCATTGACGACATAATTCAAGGCACATCACCGGAATTATGCACATCACTGTATCACGCATTAAGNGATGACAAGCCACACCGGTAGGAACGCCATGGTTGTTTAACCAGCGGGTCTTATGATGCATTGACGACATAATTCAAGGCACATCACCGGAATTATGCACATCACTGTATCACGCATTAAGCATATAATACATAGATAAATAAAATATAAATAAGACATCAGCATTTTCATAATTTAAACAGTATTGTACATATGTTTACCTCTCACTGGAGGATATACAGAACTACTCACGCCCCATTGCTACAGATAAGCAAGGAGTGTGGACAGTTTTCATTACAACTGAAATTAAAAGATAGTATTTAAAATGTCTTTCACAAGGAACAACTGAAACACAACCACCTTTATTATCAGTTAAGACAAAAAAGTGGCAGCAGTTCAACTATCCTAGTAGAAAGATATAACAGAAATGTAAAAGTACAGAGTTCAGACTAAAGTATATCACGGACCGGATCGTGTTGCACTTCTCTTTTTCTTTTTTCTCTTTTCTTTTTCTCTCTTGGATTTCTCTCTGAAGCTTCTTGGTTTCNTCACGGACCGGATCGTGTTGCACTTCTCTTTTTCTTTTTTCTCTTTTCTTTTTCTCTCTTGGATTTCTCTCTGAAGCTTCTTGGTTTCGGCCTGTTTCAAATGGAGGCTTGCAACACATATATATAGGCGTCAGGAAAGCATGAGGTGGAAAGCTGGAGATAACCATCAAGAGGGACCGTTCGGACGCCATCACCACTGTCCGGACGGTAGTGCTTTGCTGGAATTTGCAACTTGCGTTGTATACTGACTTTTCTTGTTGGGAAATTACACTTTAGCCTTTGTTTTTTATGTTTTCCTACTTGGTTCCCTGCATTGTGT